ACACCGACTCCCGGCAGCATCTCGCTTATTTCCTGCACGACCCGCTGATGGTCGACAAGGCGTTCGACGAGTACCCGCGACGGTTCAAAGATATGTACGGGAAGTATGCCATGATGACTCGGCTGAAAAGTCGTCGTCGCACGGATGGCGTAGCGATGTACTTTGTGGAGTACAAAAACCGTGACATGAGTGACAATCACAAGGGCGAGGACTACACGACGGGACCTGAGCGCTTTTTTCTTCCCCCTCGTATCGTTGAGACGGAGAAGGGCATCCAACGGCCGCCGCACATGCAGATGGCGTTTGACCGATGGGCGAGTAAATTCAAAACAGAGGAGTTTCATCATTGGTGGCGTCTTCGCCATGCGAAAATGCGCTTCTGGGGCGTGCGCAATGTTCCGCATCCAAGTGACGTGGACCCGTTGTGGACGGAGAAGGAGGAGGAAGAGTGGCACAATGAGATGCTTGCCAACACGGGCGACTTTGAGGATTTGGATCTTGAAGATGATAACTTTAGTGCAACCGGTGAGGGTGGGGAGCCGTCGGCTGATGATGGGGCTGCTCCTGAACCGCGGCAACGGGCATAATGATGATGAGGATGATAATGGTGGTTACTATTTATTATGATGATGGAACCATTCAGACAGCCATTTTTGTTATATATATATATATATATCTTTTTTTCTCTCCGTTTGTGTTGGTCGTTGTGCCCGCTAAGTTGTTGGACTTTTCCCACAGAGAGAGACACACACATACATGAATGGTCGCTTTTCCTGTGAAGGTGTTTCTCCCTCATCTTCACTGAACTTCTTGCATCTTTTGCTGGATTTTTTTTTTTTCTTAAATTCTTTTGCTCTTTGCATATCTGTATACGTGGCTGTGTTAAGGGACTGGAAGAGAAATCAAAAAAACAAAAACGAAAACAACAACAACAGACAACCACCGCTTCCCTTTCCCAATTGTGTACATGGAACAGAATTATCAGACTGCTCTATCGTAGTTGCCGAGTTTCTATTCTTGCCATTAGTGTACATAGCAGTATTCTAGTGTGTGAGTAATTGCTGGGTAGGAGGACCATCATTATTTAACAAGTAGTGCGATGCCGATACGGAAGAAGCAGGAGGTGTGTGGCAAGCCCACTCAGTACAACCTCCAGACATGTGAGTACGACTGGAAGTATCTCCCTGACACACATTTCAACATTGAAGCAAAGACACCACGAAGAAGACAGCCTTCCGTGCAGTCAAACGTTCCGTTGGAAAGGAGCTTGGGCACATCTTGGAGCCCAGTGATCCCGAGATCCCCTCAAAAACTTGAGCTCCCGGCTGTCATACCCCTTTCGCCGGCCCCGTTGATGGGGACGCCACATGGCATGAAGGTGGAGCCGCAAGCGCCCCCTCTTCCATGGTCGCATGACGAGCTACGTCGGCTTGTATATGCAAACCAGTCGGAAGCGCAGCGGTCGTACTTGCTGAATTGATTTTTAAAACGGCACGTGGAAGAGGAGCACGCCTTGGCTTGACGGGCGCATTCCAAGAGCAAAAGATACGAGGCGAGGGGGGAAAAGGAGGGGGAGTGGGGGTGGGGGGGTGGAATGTAA